AAAAAAAAAAAAAAAAAAAAAAATCCCTGTAAAGCACTTGAAACTCAATCTGACACAATGAAGTATTCAATCTTAGTCGTTATTTAAGTAGTTCACCGGGATTACAGGTTTGTACCACCACTCATCTAGCTCTTAGTAGTTTTTAATCAAATCAAAGTACCCAGTTCCAATTCAGGGAATTTCTTTCCATTTCAGCCAAACATTTGAGCTTCAAGGGCAGATTATTGGGGCGGGTAAGATGGCTCAGTAGAATAAGCCCTGGCCTGGCAAGCACAAGGGCCTGAGTTCAATGCCCAGTTCTGCCAAAAAAGAACAGATTACTGCAACATTTGCTTCTGTAATTTTTTTTTCATTTTTATATTTGCTAAAGCTTTATTATCTTGGTTCTCCAGTAAAAGTACTGATTGCCTGACAATTCATTTTGCTGCTGCTGTTGTTTTCGGTACCAAGAATCAAATTCAGGACCTTGTGCTTGCCAAGCAGGCACTGTGCCACGCTGTTAAATCCCTGGCCCCTGACAATTAACTCTTGCAAATGTCTCCAAATCATGAACAGTTACAGGAAGGATAAAAACATCTCCAAAAAGGGTCAGAGAGATAGCTTGGTAGACTAAGCACTTGCCTGGCAAGGGCAAGGTCCTGAGTTCAATCCCCAGTACCGCAAAAATAAAAAAAACCTCCAATCACTCTCTCAAGCAATAAGCACTAAACTTCAGCAAGCCCTGGGATACAGGGGTCCTGCCAATACTTCTCCCCCAGGTTCCCAGCTTGTTGGCATCCCCACCTTCTACATCTGGTCCTGGTCCTAGGGCAGAGTCCATGGAGGCTGCATCCTGCCAGCAACTGGCTGTGTTACCATTAATGCCCTGGTCTTGACAGTTGCCTCTTTCCTTGGGTTCTGCCTTCCCCAGGAGTAGCCTGGAGTCAGGTTTACATATTAGATTTATCTACCCCCTCTGGTTAACACCTGTTTTTGCTTTCTTATTTTCTCTGTATGTGTATTTCCTAAGCACAGGAAGTATTTTTTGGCCTCTACTTTACTTTCTTTTTAAAAACTTAATTAGGGCTGGTGAGATGGCTCAGTGGTCTAAAGCCCTACTTGGAACAAGCTTAGCAAAGCACAGGGACCACGGTTCAATCCCCCAGCACCACATGCCAGCCAGCCCTGCCCCCTGGTGGGCTGAGCTGGCCACACACACACACACACACACACACACACAAATAAATAAAAATAAAAAATTTTAAAAAATAAAATAAAAATTAAAACTTAATTAAAGAGCACAAGGGCCAGCCAGAGAGCACAGGGACCAGGTTTCAATGCCAGAAGTGCCACGCCGGCCCCGCACCTGGAGGTGCAGTGAGAGTGATTGAGACATGGTGGTGCACACCTGTAATCCCAGTGCTTGGGAGGTTGAGAAGAGGAGGATAACTATGAGTTTGGATCTGTGTAGTGAGGTCCTATATACTCTGTACTAAATTAATAATTTAATACATTAAAATAATAAAATACTAATAATAAAGAATACAGGGCTGGAGAGATGGCTCAGTGGTCTAAAGCACCTATTTGGAACAAGCTCGGACCACGGTTGGATACCCCAGCACCACATGCCAGCCAGCCCCACCCCCTGGTGGGCTGAGCTGGCCACACACACACACACAATAAATAAATGCAAAAATAAATAAATAAACAGCGGAATATATTTTAAAAAATAATAAATAAGAATACAACTTTAAAAAAAAAGGATACAACTTTAATTTTGTAATTTAGCTTTTTGGAGTTTTGAGACAGGCTCTTGTTATGTAATCCAGGCTGGCCTTGAACTCAATAGACTGGCCTCAATCTGGCCCTGACCTTCTCTGGAGTTGAGATTACTGGGATTATCATTCCCACTTACTTTTGTAATTAAAAATAAAAAAATACTGAAGAACTTTGGGAGTAATTGCGTACTTTTTTTTCTTGTGTGCATCTTTTTCCGGAGTACCAGGGATCGAACTCAGGACCTTGCACTTGCCAGGCAGGTGCTGTGTCACTGAACTATATCACTGGTCAGTATGGAGTAAACTTTTTTGAGCTTTATGGGCAGAAAATTTGAAGTAATAAAATAGAACTGGATAAAGTGGGGGAAAAAAAAAAAAACCACTTCAGACTGAAAGAAATCTGTGCTGAAATTGTTTTTAAGATCTAATTACTAAACACAAGGCTTTTTTGAATCTAAAAAGACAGTCGGGAAACTTGAGGCAGGTGATTGCGGGGAGACCGTGAACAGCCTGGATTACACATTATGACCCTGTCTTAATAGATAAAATAAAAAGCCACTTACAGAGTCATGGGTGAGATACGTATCGCAGTAGTCACAATAAAACCTGAAAAGAGGCAAAATAACGGTAAGATGTCAACCAGTTAATAGATGTCCATCCCTGGAAGCGCTGTCCACGGAAGCAAAAAACAAAAAAACTCCTCGCAATTCGAAGGGGTCACGCAAAACGCTCCCCCAAAGCCCAGGCGTTTTTGTTGCCGTGCGTGCGGCCGGCCTCCACATCCAGAAGGGCTGTCCAGAGCTCGCGAGCTCCCGCCCGCCCGCTGCCCCAGAGCCCCGCTTTTCCCTCCAGAGCTCATGAACCAGAACACGCTCTGCGCCAGTTCCCGGGTCACCACCATGGACCGCCACCTCCCTCAGAAATCAGGGGGCGACTCACTTAGGCATGTTGCTCTACAGGCCGTTGGCGGCTCCTTCGCGGGCCGCCCGGAAATGACGCAAACAGCAGGCGCCGACGCCGCGGAAGCTGTGAAAAAAGCGTGACTTCACAAAGCCTCGCCCCTTGGTAAGAGGCGTGCTTTGCTCGCTCCTCTTCCTCTAGGGGAGGGCGGGAAGGGAGTACGAGTCCTTTCGAGGCTCAACTCGCGCTCACTTAATAGTGATGCTGGACACTTCCGGAAGTGTGATGTTCCCTGTTAAAGTGCCCGGCGCTTCTGGAAATGCTAAAATGCGGGAGGGGGGTGTCACTGAACAAAACAGGCAAAATTATTGTACTCATAGAGTTGACTAGAAGTAACATAAAGCAGATAAAATCAAGCCGGACTCGGTGACATATGACTTGTAATCCCAGAACTCTGAGAGGCTGAGACAGGAGGAGCAAAGTTTAAGCCCCGCCTGGGTAATCGCGACTTTTGTAAGATCCTCTCTCAAAGATTAAAAAGTTAAAAAATAATAGTAAATAATTTTTTAAAATTATATACATACGGGACTGGTGAGATGGCTCAGTGGTCTAAGGCACCTACTTAGAACAAGCTGAGCTAAGCAAA